AACAGCCCTTTTGAATGTCTCCCTAATTCTGAGGTCTCAAGGTTGGCAAGTACCTTGTGTCACTTCACTTTTTTTGCCACATGTATCGCAAACCATGTCTCAGCTGTTTGTGGAGGTAAAATACGTCCGCACACGACTCCAATTACGCTCAGCCATTGTCGTGAGTGTGCACACCAGCGGCTGTGAGACATTTATACAGCCGTATTTCGCACATAACTATGAAAGGTGGAAGAGGAAGTAGTTCCTTTGAATGTAGACAATCCGAATGATATAGTTCCTTTCCACTGTGTTCTTGTTAATGATAAACTACAAATTTACCCTAAAATACTAAAATATCGATATAAATGACTGGTATTGGAGGAATCGATATTTCAGGATCGATCCGCACATCACTACTTGGCACATATGCAGCCGTCAACACCCACTGGTCGTTGATCAGAGACCCTCCAAAAACTAAATTGGGGTACACAAACCCTTCAAAAAAATGTTTATATCAGCGAACCAGGGCCAACTTCCTGGTGCTGCATCATGAGCTCCTGTGATGCTGCTGCTGTTCACAGCCCTGCTGCCACATGCTGAGAAAAGAAAAGACCGCACAGTTTAACAGCGAGTGCACAGATCAGCATATTAAAACCACTCAGAGACAGAGATAACACTGATCAGTGCATCCTGTGCGCTGGCATTCAAGTGGATGCTATTTTAAGAAGGATCTGAAGACTCTGGTGCACATGTGATCCACAGATCTTCCTCCTCTGTGTCAGAAAAGTGGAAGATTTTACTGACAAAATCATTTCACAGAAGAAAGAAAAACCAAACGTCAGCGCACTGTGTCACTGAAACAAATGTGGAGATCACTGTGCACATGTTGTCATTACTGTACAGCTGACAGAAGGAAGACAAGGTTCACATGTCTTTGGATGCTTACCGGGCTGATCCAAATGACAACCTGAAAATGAGAAAACACAGACAAATCTGTTAAACCGCTTCACAGAAAATATGTGAAAGTAAGCAGTGATGTTTTTTCCAACTTGAAGAACTGATCAGAAACTAAACAGAACATTTTTAGAGGGAGCCAGTTAATCTTTAGGTTTCCATGTGTTTAAAACAGCTAACAAGAAAACGTTTGCCTTATGAGCATGGGGAGGCCCAGCCTGGGGAACCTTACTGGAAACAGCCAGAAACTAGTTTGTGCTGTTTCCTTTGATACCGTTTCAGTTAGACGATCACGCTGAGGATGACTTCCTCTTTCTAAATGAATCGAACAGAGCTCTGCTGCACAGTCACATGCCAAGTGTCCTCTGATGGTGGGCAGGTCCTCCTAGAGATATAATTTAATGCACTTAATGTTGTAAATGATCAGACTGTGAACCAAACACATTAACCCCTAATTTCTTAAGCAGTCACTAAAGTAATTAACTCTTTACCCTTTAGTTCTGGTTATTGTGACGTCTTACTGGTTGACTGAAACAGGTCAGTGCAGGCGATGAAGGCAGTGAGTCGTCTAACTTGAGAACTGATCACATACTAAACAGAACATTTTAATGCTGTCTGTTGTCAATAACCTACCAGTTCATCTTTGAGTCACATTTCTTTGTTTTAAAGAAAGAAAACAACATCTTTGCAGAGACAAACTCAGAGTCACCTCTGTTGTTGCTTTCGGTGTCAAACGTTTAGCTCTGTGTGATCAAATAATTCACAAATGTTCTCACAGTGTACTCACTACACTAACAAACATGACAACACGACATGTCTACACTGTGTCAAAGACAGAACTGTTGAAATCAAATAAAAACGTGTGGATTACTGTGAACATGAAGCAGTGCAGTGACTGTGGCTGATGTGCTCTGTTTACATTCTAATATTAAATATGATGCTGAATGATATCAGTACTAAACAGACTCTCTCCTTGTATCCAGGAGTAACATTTGGTTTAGAATAGTCGACATCTGTACCTCTAGTTCATTGCACACTTCTTCCACCCCTGATATAATCTCGATGAGAAAATATGAGAAAAATCTTTTTTCTCACCTTTGCAGAAGAAAATGATCAGCACAGTGACGCAGCACACAAACTGTTGCAGAGCCATGGTTAACTGCAGCTGTTTCAGATCATCTTAGACTTTAATTATCTGAAATTTATGTTGAGCTCCGCCTGTTAACACTCATCAGGGCCCTACCAAAGAATCAGGTCAGACTCGTTGGTCCATGTGCTTCTTTGACTGCAGTTATGCACGATGCACGGAAATTTGAAGCAGGTTCAATTTTTAATTCAATTCAATTTTATTTATACAGCAAAATCACAGCAACTGTCACCTCAAGGTGCTTTATGTTGTAAAGTAAACCCTGCAGTGGCAGGTGAAAGCAAATTGTAAATGGACTGTATTTATATAGCGCTTTACTAGTCCCTAAGGACCCCAAAGCACTTTACACTATAAATAATTAATTAAATGTTAAATGTGTCAATAATTAATTACTTACATGTGTCATAACTATTTATTTAATTAATTAATTCCAATTTTAATTAATTATTGACACATTTAATTAATTATTTAATGGTGTATTTAATTAATTCATTATGGCAGTCCTGGCGTTCCATAAGAATGATCCTGCAAACTATAGACCAATCTTCAAACTCCCGTTCTTATCTAAAGTACTAGAGAAAATTGTGTTTTGCTGTGTGTCATGCTGTAGGCATTAAGGGTTCTGCCCTTAACGGGTTTAAATCCTATGTCTCGGATCATTTTCTATCACAATGGGATGTTACTCACCCCATCCAAAACTGAGATTGTAGTGTTTGATAGGCATATCCCTCGGGACTAGTTAGCCATTCCATTTGTCCCCCTTGCTAGCTTCTTCTCTGACACTGTAAGCAATCTAGGTGTTTTCCTGGACAGTTCATTTAAGCTTGTTAAACAAGTGTCCTCAGTAGTCAAATCTGGCTTTTTCAATTGCACAATCTCTAAAGCCAAACATTTTACACAGCACAGTGACCTTGAAAAACTTATCCATGCTTTTGTGACTTCCAGATTAGAATACTGCAATTCCCTTTACTTTGGCCAATACGTCCATCTCCATAGACTTTAGCTTGCTCAAAATGCTGCAGCTCGTCTCCTAACTGGAACTGGAAAATTTGCTTCCATTACTCCAGTTCTTGTTGACTTTGGCTACCCATCAAATATCGTATTGATTTTAAAATCTTGTTGCTTACTTTTAAAATTATAAATAACATTGCGCCTAGCTATCTTGTTAATCTTCTTAGCTTGTATACTCCTCATCGAGCCTTAACCCTCTGGGGTCAACGGACGCGCCGGCGTGTCAAAATCACAAGACCAATTTAAGACGACACAGCTACAAGATGCAGCGACTCAGAGTCTCCATTTCAACCTGGATCAAAAGTGCGGAATTCAAACTATATACCAGTTTTTGAATTGTGTTGATGGGCCACGTAAATGTTTCATTCTGAAGAAAACAGTTGTGTTTACAGCGAGAAGAACGGTAAAAAAGGTGCTTTCTACAGACAGCGCTAGCAAACACTCTCCGCTTGTGAGTGAAAAAAAAACCTTTTGCTCCAAAAAAGCCACCAGAGGCAGATTCCAGTGTAAACGCTGTCCCCACATGGAAAACTGGACTGACACACCTCCTGTTGTCAGACCTGCAGGGTTTAGGACTGTGCTGTTCTCCTCTGTATTATATTGGACACAAACTATTTTTTTGGACTGGCACAAATAATTTGTGTGCCTTCTTATTTGATGCAGCACACCTGATTGTTCAGTAAATAGTTTTAAATTGTTATATAAAAAACGCCTGAGGGCTTGGCTGCATTTTTACGTAAATAGTACCATTGTTGTTCGCAAAACCTGTGAATAATTTTTAGAAATGTACAATTTCTATTTGCATTTCAAGTTATGAAAATGATTCGTTAAACATGTTTTTTTTTAACTTTTTGTCTGGATTTAGATCAATTGTGCTAATATAGTATGCCAAAATGAAAAAAATAACTCAAATTTCAGATATATGAGGTTATGCTGAAAATAATGATACCAAACAAGGCAAGATAAGCGGTTTTCATCTATTTGAACCTTTTTACATTTTAACCTTCTTACTACATTTTGACTTTTTACTGCATTATTGCTGATTTTTCTAGATATTATTTTTATATTTATGAATTAACTCTATCTGTTACCCGTGGCCTGACATCTATTTTATTTAGACTATACTCCTGGTTTAATTAGTGCTTCCCATCTGTTAGTATTAGTAGCTGTCACGGTTCTGGGTCGGTTCGACTCAGCATTTTGGAGTTGTTATGTCTTGGCTTTGAATAATGGATTATTCCTGTATACTGGTGGTGGTGGTGGTGGTGGTGATGATTATGATGATGATAGATTATTATTAGAGTTCCATGTTTCTGTTTATGTGTGTTTCAGGATTTTTGTCTCATGTTTAGCATTTAGGTTCCATGTGGGGAGATTGTGGCTCAAGAGTTGGGAGTTCGCCTTGTAATCGGAAGGTTGCCGGTTTGAGCCCCGGCTCCAACAGTCTCGGTTGTTGTGTTCTTGGGCAAGACACTTCACCCGTTGCCTACTGGTGGTCAGAGGGCCTGGTGGCGCCAGTGTCCGGCAGCCTCGCCTCTGTCAGTGCGCCCCAGGGTGGCTGTGGGTACAATGTAACTGCCATCACCAGTGTGTGAATGTGTGCGTGAATGGGTGGATGACTGGATGTGTAAAGCGCTTTGGGGTCCTTAGGGACTACTAAAGCACTATATAAATACAGGCCATTTACCATTTACCAAGTGTTATATTCAGTCTGTCTCTCAGTGTCAAGGCTGCGTCTTTGTGTAGTGAGGTCTTGTTTCCTGTTATCTGCGTCTCTTGTGAATGTGTTCAATTTTACCTCTTGTCTCGTCTCGTTAATTGCTCCCAGCTGTGTCCACCACCTGTGTGTAATCTCCCTGTGTTTCTCTGTGTGTATTTAATGTTTAAATTAGTTGAAATAAGGGTTTTCAAATGTCAAGCAATATTTAAAAAATAAAGTGAAAAGCACCTAAGTAAAACTCTTTGTGACTGAAACCAGTTCACTTTGTTCATTAGAAAAATTGAATCATTTATTTTTAATATAGGGTGTTTACTAACAAATTTCTGTATATGAAATATTAGACATCGATTAAATATGAAGCACAAACCTGTTTTAAGTCAGCTTGAAAAAAGATTTAAAATGACATGCAATATACTAAGATTAAGATTAAAACTCATTTTAGTTAAAGGTTCAGTAAAGCATACTGCAGAAAGCACTTTCTGACTGTGATCAGATCATTTTGTGCATTAGAATAAAGAAAGAGCTTATTCCTATTCCACTGTTCAGGCCAGTCTGTAACATCATCAATGATTTGGTAACTTCCTCAACAACAAACTAGAAGAGATAGACTCTAATTCTCTGGGAAACACTGTAAGAGTGGAGTGACATTGTCCACCGGTGGGGAATGTTTGTGTTTTTATTCTGTTCTTATGTTGTGGAGATATTAATTTAAATAATTAAATATGTAAATACTTACGTTATTATATATATTCCCTGTGCAGGTACCTCTTTAACTCTAAATCAATTTTTTGGGTCTCTCTTTTTTCTTTTTTCTTGTTATTTTTTCTTGTAAGAATTTTAATGTAAAAATCTACATGCTGCTAACAGAGAAATGCCAAACTGCATTTCATTGTTCTTGTAACAGTGACAATAAAGATTTATTCTATTCTATTTTGTGTAAATTTCAGTGTTTCAGTAAGAATGGTTGTTAATTTATTAACACATCTATTACACTGCTAAGACAAGCATTTTTTACAGCTGTAGGCTGTAGATGTAAATTAGGCGCCCATGTAAAACTAGCATATTACACATTTTCATTTAGTTTAGTTTAGTTAGTGATGGTTTTCAGAATTTGTGATGAATTCACATTCATTTAAATTAGAGAAACGAACACCTGATTTTGTCATGGTGTAACAGAGGATTAGAATACTAGCCCTGAAAATCGAAATGTAAAGCAACCTCTAGCAGATATATGTTTCATCACACTTGAAATAAATAATCATTTATCAGTTTTTCAGTGTCAAAGACTGTATGCCTTGCTCATCACTAAAATCACTTTTCCCTATAGTATACTGGCCTCACTGGAGCCATGCCTAAATATCTTAAATGTCACAATGAGCTTGATAGATTTCAGAAACCAGGGGTAGCAAAAAGTGTAGATTAATGGGTTCAGACAAGAGTTAAAATAGAACAGCAAGAGCTCAAAAGGTACAGATCTAATATCAAAGAAACTATTCTGGCCTACCATTGAGGAACAGAAAAATGGGAAAAGACATATCAGAAAGGCAATAACAAGTACACCGAGAGTCCTGGCAGCTTTCAGCTCAGATTTCTTAGCATGCACCGTCTCTGACCCCTGGAGTCTGAGAGCAGTGATATGAGAGCGCATTGCCCGAGCCTGAGACACAGCCACCACAAATACTCTTAGATACAGAACTATGATGACAATGACAGGGCCGACAAAGGTCAAAACAAAGTCAAAAATTCCCACAAAGTAATCAATGACAACTACACAATCACCAGAACAAGAATTATACCTCCCTGGCTGCTTGAAATTATCCTTCATGATAAGACTGTTATACAGAATTGAACAAGCCCAGCAAGTACAAATAGAGACTGAGACTCTTTTCATAGTAATTTTGGTGGGATAATGCAGAGGGTCACAAATGGCTACATAGCGGTCAGCTGATATGAGTACCATAGTTCCTACTGAAGCAGAAGTAACAATGTAATCTAAACTGCTATACAGAGCACACATGTGGTCACCAAGAAACCAGCAGCCATCTAGGAGGCTAATCTGACAAGCCATGATGAGGCCCACGAAGAAATCTGAGACGGCCAGAGAGAGGAGGAGGAGGTTGGTTGGGGTGTGCAGCTGCCTGGATTAAAATAGGAGCATCAAAGGTTGTTCTACAGCAGTAATTGCAACTCCACTGTAACATATAGAACAAAGCAACACATTTTCTAATTAAATTCACAAAAAACATTATTTTTCTATAACTTGTTAAGTATTCAAATATGTCAGTACTTGAAGTGAGCAATGGAGATGATCACAAGCAGGTTCAGAATTGTAGTAAGCACAGAGATGGAAGAGAGTGGAGTGTAAATAAACACAGCCTCAATTTGTGAATGCTTTTGCCGCACACAAGAGGAGTTGAATAGTTGTGGAAAGCAGAGTTCAGTTTCTTCCATTGTTAGAGAAAGACAGCTGTTCAGCACAAACAGCTTTGTGACTGAGCCCCTTTTTTGTATCACCACCCTTCCTCCCACATTTGCCTTCTGACGCAACTCATTCTCTGATATTTTTTCCCTCTGCGAATAAGTCAAA